TCTGACGCTACCTTCAACACGACTGCCATTCGAGGCACGTTCTGTATCAACCTCCAGTAACAAAGCGCTCTGCGGTACGCTTGCGGCGGAAATCAATAACGGGACCCTCATCTGCTCCTTTTCCCAACTGATCACCCGCCTCCGTCCTCCTGACTAGCCCGGCATGTACCCACCTACGTACCGGACTCACTCCGCTTCCCTTGGGACAGACAAATATACTCGCCTGATAACATAGAGCGGCCTAGGCGGTGAATAAGGATTTCCATATCTGACGCCTCGTGCGCCGTAGACTGGCACTGGCTTCGGCAGGGCATATCTGATCGGGGGTACTCCGTAAGGGTTTCCAGGGTAGAGAGGAGGACTGCCTCTCAGACTTGGACCGTAGGATCGCGGTCTGGGTCGGGGGTATCCTCCAGGTTGCGGTCTCGGATAAGCTGGTCGAGGAGGAGATCCTGGAAGTATTCAGGGCTAATATATCAGACCACAGCTCACGATTAGCCCTGAGAGCGGCTTGTCCACGCGAGGGTACCATAAAAACGAGATTATTCGTTTTTCCCAAGAGGCCTTTCTCAGGAATTCTCGTCGATTCGGCTCCTCGATAGAATCTGCCTCTGTGGAGCTTTGTTGCCATCAGTGAACACTTATCCGCAAATACGGCTAGCGTCGGCTTCGATCCATACTCCACGATTCGCCTTTTCGGCTCCTCGACTCACCGGCGGCCGGCGCTTGGTATGGCTTGCCGTCAGGTTCTGCTGCTCCGTAGTGTGGTCCGAGGCCTTCTGGAGCGTAAGCTGGAGGTGCTCCATCGTGGGCTACGGGACCCGCGCTGGGCTTGGCGTATGGACTGTGAACTTCTCTGGGTGCACCGTAGGATTCTGGAGCAGACGCGGGTCTTCCGTAAGCCCCTGGGGCAGGCGCGGGTCCACCGTACGTTCCTGGGGCAGGCGCGGGTCCGCCGTACGTTCCTGGGGCAGGCGCGGGTCCACCGTACGTTCCTGGGGCAGGAGCGGGTCCACCGTACGTTCCTGGGGCTGGCGCAGGTCCACCGTAAGTTCCTGGGGCAGGAACGGGTCCACCGTACGTTCCCGGGGCGGGCGCGGGTCCGCCGTAAGCTCCTGAAGCTGGTGCAGGTCCACCGTAAGAAGCCTTGCCAGGAGCGGGGCCACCGTAAGTTTTCGGCGCTCCACCATACGATGCTCCAGGTGCGCTGTAGGCTGCTCCGGGAGCACCGTAGCCTGCTCCGGACCCAGCATAAGCACCCTTGGCCGCCTCGCCGCCATAGGCAGCTCCGGACCCAGCATAAGGAGCGGCATGAACAGCCTTGGCTGCTCCGGATCCAGCGTAAGTCCCACCTGATCCACCATAAGAGGCCTGGTTCGCTCCAGACCCACCGTAAGCAGCCCCGGATCCCTTGTGACTGGCTTCTCCGTACGTTGTTCCAGATCCTTTGTAAGCCTCCGCGGAGGGACTATAGGCCGTTCCCGATGCACTGTGGGCTGCTCCGGATCCGCCGTAAGCTGCTCCAGATCCCTGGTAAGTTGTTGAGCCAGAAGAACTGTAAGTTGCTCCGTGTCCCGCGTGGGCAGATCCAGCGCTCCCGTAAGCTGCCCCAGATCCTCCATAGGCGTTATTAGGAGCAACGGACCCACCGTAGCCGGATCCATGAGCTCCTGTGTATCCGCCATTGGTCGCTCCGGACGCACCGTAGGCATCGCTGACTGCTCCCGCATGGCCGTGAGCAGCACTGGATCCGCCATGGGTTGCTCCGGACCCGCTGTACGAACCTTGTGGTGCGCTGGATCCACTGTAAGGGCCAATGGATCCGCCATAAGACGTGGCCTTGTACGTTCCATGTCCAGCGCCATGAGAGCCTCCATGAGCATAACCATGGGAAGGAGCAGGAGCGTAAGCTCTCGATGAGCCGCCAGCGCTGTGATAAGCTTGTGATGGAGCTTGTTGATAAGAATGCGACAATCCGGCATTGTAGCCGTGAGCCGATCCCGAAGGATATCCGTGTGCCGAGCCGGCGCCGTACGCATGAGGGGAACCCTGAGCGTGCGGCGCATGAGGAGCGTGGTAGTTGTTGCCTGAGTGTTCCGGAGAATATTTCTGATTTGAAGCCGAATGCGCGCTCGGATAACCGGAGGGCTCAGCTTGGCCTTTCTCTTTCTTCGTGTCGTAGGCGTGGGACTTGACCGCTCTCGCGTAACCGCCAGACACCGCTGCAGATCTCCTCGCGAGATGGGTCGGATACGAAGCAGCAGTGTGATGCGGAGCGGGTGCTTCCTTCGCCTGATACGGGACTTTGCTCAGAGCGTGGTAAGGGTAGCCTGGCCGGGGACTGAGCGGTTTACGATCCTTCGAATACACTTTGTATGCTGTAAAGAGAGATGGCTTCAGGGGTGAGCGATCGTATCGTCTAAATGACGAACATATCCCCTACCACCAATCGATGCATAGGTAAGCACCGCTACAGCGAACGCGAACCAGACTCTTACAGGTTTTTGGATAGGGTGGGTGTCCACTCGAAGAAGGGTACGATGATTTCGCGGAATGGCTGGGAGGGGCTTTGTACGACCTGGTGTTCCAGAATAAATATATCTTAAGCGTTAAAGGAATAATTCGACTCCCTCCGAGCGAGAGGGATATCGCCTGACTACATTGTAATCGATTGGCTAAGGCTCAGGAGAAGTGTACCCTGCGTATGATGATCTGCTTTCAGCGCCTCTGTTCGGACATCTATCGAGGAAGTCCTGGAGCTCTTCGTTGTATTCTTCGTCAGCATCCATCAGCCAGATCGCGGACAGATCCAAGTAGGGAATCCCGCTCTCTGTGTCTCGTTCCGCGAATAGAACCAGGTGATCGCTTACTGCGGAATGCGGTCGAAATTCAGGGTGAATTCATCCTTTCCGACTCGGATCACAAGGCTCGAAATCCGCTGCGGTCGAGGCGGTGTCCATCATCAGGTACACACGTCAGGACGTCAGGGTCGCGGCAAGGTATGGGAGGACGAAAGGCGGGGAACTCACAGTTCTTGGTGCAGTTCGTCAACTCGACTCTGCTCGTTTCAGAGAAATCCAGGTCGCCGAAGTGGTTCATCGGGGATTCAATCGAAAACGTGTCGTTCACGTCGCGGACCAGCGACAACACTGCGGAGCACATGACGCTTAATGACGGCCAAGCGCTCGGCCAGAAAACCGGCGCTGAGGCATCTACGACGCTGAAGATTATCAGAGAAACGGAGACCAACCGTAAAAGTCGCAGAGTACGTCCGGAGATTCCCCGATCGGCTCGTGAAAACTGATATCGAGGGGGCATGAAGCGTCGACGGGTACTTCATCTTCCTTCAGAGGTTCCGAATCGTCCGCTGGAGATCGATTACTTTCAGTGAGAAAATGCGCATGAGCGGTGCCACCAACGTAATTTCCGATAAAGACTGTACGAACTTACTGGGATACGGAACGTATTCGAGGAACTCGATTGTGGCTGCAAGGGACCACTGGATCTCAAATAAGGCGCTAAATGCCGACGGATGCCTTTTGAGAATTCTCCGTCTAACTAATCTACATGGAATAACGCTGCAGGGCACTCACTGTGATTTTTGTCAAATTCGCCCGAGTTCCCCTCGGCCAGACTGAAAGCGACATGGAATGTTATTTACCCGACTCCTGGCTGTTTCCCCACGGTATTGCAATCACAATTCGTACTGTTCGATAGCCTTGCGGGATGCGGCGTGAACAGCCGCGAATCCCTCGGCAGCGGCAATTGCGCTCTCGGCGCCCACTCCAACAAATCCCATCCGTATTCGAGCACCGCTTTCGCACATACTTCGAGTCGTCTTGCGAGACGGCAACGATGGGGTTCTGCAGCGAGACCGCGAGGCTCACGGCCAGCAATAAGGCCCCCAGCAGAAGCCTAGCCATCTTGGAAACGTGTTGGCAAGCAACTGATAGTCGTTCAACGTCTTAGGCTGACCATTGGTTCGGCGATTCTACGACTACTCGAAACGATCCATCGAGGCTAGACTGTCTTGCTGACTAACGTATTCTCGTACCCTCCGACAGAAAAAAATGTGGAGAGCGTTTCAGGTTTCCCTTTTCTACGATTGGAAGTAGACACCTGATTTTCTTGCCGGAATGACTCGCTTCCCTCCCAGCTCGCTCCTCTGGAATGTTCTCTCATCCGAATGTCAGGGGCGCATGCATACGGCCAGCTACGAGAGTCTTTCCGTTATCTTTCCAGCCTCGGAAATACGTTACGTGTCGATTGAATGGATGGCCGATAATCGTCATCGTAGGCTAATCGCAGCGGAAAATGCGCGACCTTTATCGCGTTCAGCGTTGGAAAGATAAGAGCCGACCAGCTGTGATCGCTGACCGTGCTCTCCTGGGGTAAACCATCGGCCCGAGCGCCGAGTTCGAGGTCGTCATTAGCAGCCTTCATGCCCTACCCAATTCTTCAGGCTTTCAATGAAATGCAGATCTATAGGGACAAGTCGTCCTCTCCCTCATATGTAAGCCACCGGGCCGCCCCGGGCGACATGCGACGCAGTCATGGATGCCCCTCCTCGAAGCAATGGCATTGCCTCAATCTTCTGAAGGTCTGGGAGATCATGGTGGGATCCTGATCGCTTGTGACGCTCTCTCCGTCTGACTCACGCGGTATGTCACCCGGCATTTTCGACCTCACCTTGTCTAGAAATCAGTTGAATGACTAGAATAGATAGAATATTGGAGCCGACCGACCTCAGGGGACCTCTATTCACTACTGACATGAGTACATCATCGACGTAGCGGCATCGGGTTAGTACCTCGAAGGCTCACAACTAAAGCTCCGGATTCGTTTGGGGCACACATAAGACCATCGTAGGCTGATTATCGTGATTCAAGAGCCCGGAATCGCGCATGAAGCAACCATAATTCGAATGAATCCCGCTTGCGGACGCCCTCTCCCACCCTTTCCAGCTCTTCTGTTTGTTGACGTTCACTGCTGCTGATGAGCGCTCTTTGTTCCGACCGGTAGTTGTCTGGTTATTCTCGACGAGTGTTCAGCTTGATTTTGGCAGAATCGACAACAGCATCGCAGGAATTTCTATTTGCACAACTCTAGTACGAGCGCGCCTCGAGCTGCACCGCCATGGCAAGTATTTATTAAATGTTGAAACAACTCTCTGCCTCAGAGACCGCTCCCGTTCCGAGCAACATCTGGGCTCACACGGTCTACACGTCATCGCTCTATTCTTTCATTGACGCGACTTTTCAGCTATTTGGGGGCTTACAATGCTAGCATCGATGGGCAGAAAAGTCGGACTCCTTCCATCGACTCTCTCTAAGCGTAGTTTTGATGGGGAAAAGAGAGATTCGATCTTTGATATTGATTTGAAAAAGATGAGCTCAGTCTGAATGGAAATTTCGTGCGTGTTTTTCAGACGACGGTGGTGAACACGGTGGACACCACTCATGAAGACATGATTGTAAGTTCTCGAGACAGCGGAAAAAACTCGCCGGATGTGTGCGCCCAGAGGCAGACTAGTCCGGCATCCGAACTCTGATCATATTGAGAAGGTCCACGGCCAAGACTCCCCACCGGCTACGCCCGCCAAGACGAAGTCGATTACCCGTTCGACGTTCCCTTGCCTTCTAAAGTTGGATGACTTCTTGCAGCATGATTGTCAGATGGATTTCTACGGAGTCCGTCTGGCGACTTGTTCCTCGGACATGAGCGTGAAGATATTTGATCTCCGTAGCGGAAATCAAAAATTGGTCGCTGATCTCCGAGGGTGAGTGTCGTTCGCGAATCGCTGTCCGTAATTGAGCTCCCACTGCGATTCCCTATCATCATGATGACGACTATAATAATTTGATTTTGTCGATTCCCGAATCGATCGTATACTTGAATAGTCAATCGACTAATCAATATTCTCTCCTTCGCAGACATGAAGGACCCGTTTGGCAGATCTCATGGGCGCACCCTATGTATGGACCCCTTCTCGCATCCTGTTCCTACGACCGTCGTGTCATACTCTGGCGGGAAACAAATGGAGTTTGGCAGCAATGGCACGAATTCAAGAATCATGATAGCTCGGTCAACGCTGTGCAGTTCGCACCGTACGAGTTTGGATTGATGCTGGCTTGCGCCAGCTCCGACGGGACTGTCACCATTCTCAGCAGCAGCAACAACGGCGCCACGTGGGATGTCAACAAAATCACAGGAGCACATTTGGTAAACGTCTGTGGATAATAATAATAGCCATGTGAACGATGCTCACTCGTCCACGGGAGCGAATCGTGAAATGGAGAGAGAGGGTCGAGTTCGATCGGAAAATATTGCAAATGTCCTGCATGAATGCGGAATCGGAGCTCGACGAGGACAAAATTATTTTATCTATTGAAAATTCTCTAGATGGGCGTGAACAGCGTCAGTTGGGCTCCGTACACTGCCCCGTATTCTCTCTTCGGTCTTAACGGCGACCAGGACAATCAGCAGGCAGATAGGCAGATACGACTTGTCACGGGAGGCAGCGACAATCTCGTCAAGATCTGGAAATACAGGTGAGACCCAGATGGCACGTCATCCGCTCCTCGGGTGTCTCCGAAATCGTGCCGGAGTTCCGTTCGACAGCCGTGAACTGCTAGCTCGATCAGAGCAACGATCGATCCCAGAATGACTTGGAATTTGATATGACGACTGAGGAATTCGGAAGGTCTCCATAGACAGTTTTTCGGCTCGAATCTGGGACTTGTGTCTCTTCATCTCGCAACGACGCCACATTCTGATATGACCGCTTTCTGTGAGCCGTCGAAGAATCACAGAGAAATTCTTCTTGAGCGTGCATCCTTTCTTCATCATCAGAGTCTCGTACGTGTTATTCAGACTGAGAATGATGTCTAAGAAATTGGGTTTTCAAACCCGCACTTGTTTTCCCTTCTGATAGGCAGCTGAAGCTTGCTCGTCCATGATGAAGTCGCTCTGGTTCCCGGCGGCGCCGGCGTAGAGTGTGATCTTGTTGTTTTCCGGCCTTTCATTGGAGTTCCTCAGATGCTGAAGCAGAGCATGGAGAGCGCGGTCTTGTTCGGACAGATCTTAGCCCCTTCCTGTACAATAGTCCATCTTGCACAGGATCGATGATGTGGCTATGGCCCCACAATTTACTGTCGGGGATCAGCCGCAGGTGTTCGCGCACCCCGATGATGTTCTTATAGGCGTGAATGAGATTCGGAGTCATCATTTGATCGAGAATGTAGAGGCTTATGTGAGCCGTGATAAGAATTGAGGTCAGCCGAAACACCCCTGAAACCACACAGATTCTCCGGCACGGGATGTGGGCCGAGGGCGCCAGAGGCAAGGCGATCAATGCCGTGAGTACCGCCACGAAGCTTCCAAACGATTTCGTCGGGTAGACGAAAACCCAACAGGCCGCTGCGGTGGCGATATACACGAGAATCAGCGAGGTACCCACGTCTTCGAATACGAATCGACGGCCGGCTGGACTTCTGTGAGCTCAGTTCAAAAGCAATACGTCTTCAACGAAGAAAATATCAGCACTGGAGAAGTACTGCTCCCTTGCCGCGTCCAGAGCCAGTGCAGCGATGGCGAACAATGAATTCCGTCTTATCAGAGCGCTGAGATCCCTGTCCCATTCGGGTGGCGAATTCGGTCGGTTCGCCGAGTTCTGTCGAAAGTTTCGTGCCGACACGGCCGGAACTTGAAGGACAACTGAACCTTGGACCTTCCCCTGTTGTGTGGTAAACGTCCTCACGACTGGGGTGTGCTAAAATTCAGCAAGCAGGAGACGGTTCAGATTAGCCGCGATCGCTATGTGTTCGGTCACATTCAGGATGTGGACGATCACGCAACTCAGTTTCCACTTGTGCGTTACTCATTAGGTCTCGTCACTATGGCTGACCGGGATACCCAGTCCAGGCTCGGCTATCTTTCGATGGCTCAGAGCGTAGTCGCTCCGTATAATGTTCAGTTATTCATGAAAAGCCATCAATCGATCCGAGTGTACATTGTTGCGTCGACGTGGCCGAGCGTTCTTTGTTGATCGAGTTCGGGCTAATTCGAGTCTGAGCAACTTCGATAGAAAGCTGATATCAGGAATCAAAAAATGCACAGGGAATAATATCTCGGGCGCGAATCCGCTTCTGGGAATCACCAATTAACTTTTTTCTTGATTTGTGCAGTGATACACAGCAACAATGGGTCGATGATCAGACACTAGAGGCCCATCTCGACTGGGTTCGTGACGTGGCGTGGTGTCCGTCCACAGCATTCTCCAATTCGTCGATGATTGCTTCATGTTCTCAAGACCGTAGAGTTATCATATGGACTTCGAACGACGGAAATAAAACTTGGAAGGGTCAGGTATGATCGGATAAGATTCCGTCCCCCTTCCTGGCATGCCGTAAATTCAGTTCTACCACATTTTCCTAACTCTCTGCTACTTCTGGATATTCAGGTTCTAAATACATTCGATGACGTAATATGGCATGTGAGCTGGTCGATGAATGGAGATATGTTAGCTGTATCGGGCGGCGACAACAAGATCAGTCTATGGAAGTGTTCCGCAGACCACAGGTTCGTGCATATCTTTGTCATACACACCGATCCTAGCTGCTCTTAGCCAGCTATAGCGGCCAGGTTATCGTAAGGTCTCCCTGCTATTCGAGATATTGAGCTTGTAGAGCTCTAGCTCCTCGACCCCAATTCCACCGTCAATCATCGCTCTTTCCAGATGGATCTGCATCTCCGAGGATGGCGGCCGAAAAATCCGGGGGCACGCTCCACACGCGGTGGATCGCGCCCTCTGAGAGCACTTTTGAATTGATTTCGCAGTTAATCACATACGTTCCCTCCTATGCATCCCCAGCTATTTTAAGTATCCACAATAAAAGCGAGTATTGTTCAGCAATGATTGAGTGCTTTTAGCAACGGCTGGAAAGAAATGTTTCTCGGGGTCGACGCATTGATACTATCGGAGCCATTATATCCAATAATCGCATGGAGCGATGTAGGTAGAACGCGGTACGAAAGCGTCGGGGAACGCCTTGAAAATTCATCGGCTCACCTGGGGACGAATCTTCTGGATGGAGGAAGCTCTCAGTCGAGCTGGAGAGTCGAAGTGGATCACCCTTCTGGACACAATGGGTTGAGCTTCAGCCCTCCGCCAGGATGCACGCTCATATATTGGTCCTCCACGTTCTCAATTCTTCGTGGCACCTCGATAAGGATTCGGAGCTGAAGCAGCTCTTCAGAGACTTCGCGAACGTGACCCATATAAACGATGGCAATGCTTCAATGTTTGTGACCGTCAGAGAAAATCAATGTCTCTTCACCAGAGACCTACTGGCATCGACTACCAGAAAGCATGGCTCCTACCGGAATCTCCGACAATAAGATGTGAGCGTGATATTCGTCGTTGACAATGTTCCTTCCAATCTCAGACCCATTGTGAGATTCTGCTACCCACGGATAGCGAAGTTCGCGACGTTGCGAGAACTCTCTACGACATCGACACCGAGGGGGATTCCGTGGATTCTCGCTCCGACGCCTTAAGCCGACATTCTTGTGGTAGACGCGGTTCTCGGCCGAGGACCGCACGGACTCTTCGGAACTTTTTTCTAGGTGACCACTGAAAATTCGCGATTTAAGGGACTTTTCCTAAATACCTCTTGAGAGTGAGCTCACGATCTTCGCTGGGCAGAACGTCGACGACTTCATCATCGAGGAGGAGACGAATCTGGCTTATCTTACGAATCGAAACAATCGGAAGAAGTTTCGGCGTACCGTGACCCCGATAAACGCGGTCAATGAGAGAAGAGTTGCTTGCTCTGAAGACGCTTCTCGGATTTTCTGCGAGTGCTGACCGAATCTGGTCACATACAGCATCGGCAGTGAGGAACGAAATTGCAGGAGAACTCAGTCAGTGCGAGGTACATATTCGAGCATCAGCTAGGATTCTACTCGTGAATTGAGAATTCATTTCACGATACAAATGCAGGTAGCAACGGTTATCCTGGCATTCGAAATCAGCTACCATGGATTGATGCGAATGCGCAATCGGCGCATCCCGAACCCAGCGGGAATCTTGAAAAGGAATGGACCTGAATCGCGGAGATCCGTCAGCCTGACCGGCGAGATCTTCGCGACAACTTTATTGATAGACGGAATCTTCGTGTCGAACTATTAGCCTGGAGACAACGGATCGGATTGACAAGCAATCTCTATTGGCAGCGACATGACTGTCGTTCCGTATTCCGAACCGGCGAAGGGGTGATAGGCGGATCATTCCTCGCTATCTTCTAACGGAAATCCCAGTCGCGCATTTGAGCGAGATAGTGTCCGCGCGGGGCGACTCTCCTGACAAAGCGCGTCTGGAAGACTTTGAAGATGGAATTCGAATCCTCCGTTGGCAAATGGAATCATCGATGTTCGAAAGACGTTCGAAGGTATTCGAGAGATGTTCGGAGGCGTTCGAGGATTGGCCGGACAAGAAGATGCGGGACAGCGAGCGGAGGCTTCCGGAGAAACCGGAGGATGGCAGCCGGAGAGTCCGGAGTGCGGACTTCAGGGAGCGGTGAATCGCGGCGCGGCTTCAAAGGTAGCTCGAGAACCGATTCAGAACGGATCGGCGCGCGCAGACCCCCGATTGTATGCAGACATTCGAGCAGTTTTCGCGAATATCATTTGCCTGGCGACTATGCACGTACTGAAAATGACGAGAGCGTTCCGACCGATGATCCTATTCCTCGTCTCCATCTCGAAGGAATGCTGCTGATACACCGACCATATTGATTTAATCCTCACGGGATTCGAAGATTTTCCGTCGAATTTCGATCCGACGACAGGAGTGGCAACCCTGCGGTAGGCGCCTGTTTGGAATGGCTCTCATGGAAAGAGGCTCAACCCCATGGACGATAACCCATCGCCATTCAAAGTGATGGGAAGGGCGCCGTGGGGAACTGAGTCGTATGAGATGGACGCGGAAGGCGTTGAGACATCATTAGAAGAGTCACGCTGTGCTCCCAGCCCGACAAATTCTATTTACAGCGTTTTCATTCGCGGTCATCTTGTGTTCCTCTGAGCTAACGGATACAGCTCGGCACTTCCTCGTAATGAAGATATCCACGCCGCTGAGCCTCGGGCCAGTCGCACTCTTCGTGACTGGAATGTGAGGACTCCTCGCACCAGCCTTAAGAGTCTCGCTCAGAGGGAATCCAGGGGAACTTCTGATGAATGCATCATTGAGGAAGTTTCGGTCGTAAAGAGTTTCGATCGGCATTGACATTGTTCTTGTTTAAACGTCTCTGTCGGAACATCCTCTCCTGCTGACCATTGGCGTACATATAAGCGAGCGCTGAAACGATCTGGGCACCACAAAGAATTATCACCGCTCGATCGTAGAGACTCGGAGTCTTCTCCGAGGCAAGGATCGGGAACATTTTCAGCAGCGAAAGTAATATCGCTGCCCAGTTGACCGTACAACTGAAGAGGGCTCGAACAACAGTGTCAGGATCCACGATCGTCGCGAACAATAAGTAGAAGTAGTTCAAAACCGAGGTACCGTAGGCATGCTCGAGGAAGATCTTGGGGCTAGGATCGATGTCCAGATAGCTGAAGAAAACAGCGATGTCTATCAAGTACACCGCCAATGCGCTCAAGAACAAGACGAGTAGCAGCCCGAAACGCCAGTTCAATTTAGGAGCTTCGTTCTGTTGCCCCATTGTTGTCAAGGAAGTCATCGCGACGGGTCCTCGATCAGGAGCGGCTCCTCCTCAGCAGTCGTCGAACTCGTTGTTTTTCAATATTTCGTGGCAGTCTTCCTGGCATTGCCGAACTCTCGCGAGTCTATTCTCTTCTTCGTTTGGTCTCGAATCCTAGTGTTCCGCGAGAAACCGATCAGTCTGCTGAAAAATTTCCATGCCATCGGAATTTAATCATTACCCGGTGTTCCAAGGCACCTCTCATGCTCTACAGGACGCCAGTCGAAGCCTTTGGGGCGAGATAAAAAGTACCATAGGATAATCACGTGAGGTATCGAGCCCAGGTGTTCCGTGGTACTTCTCAAGTAAGGAAGGTCGGGAACCACTGCTCTATACCTTAGACTAATGGTTGAGAATTTCGACTTCCCTCTCACACGGGGTCCGCTCGATCCCCTCGATGATGTCCCCGCATTCCTCAACCCCGCAACGGTTCTTCGGCCAGGAGAAGATCCGAGCGCGAGCAAGGTAGAAGCCAAGAATCTTTCAAACCTAGGTACAGTTTTATTGACTTCCAGATTCTCCTCGAAAACACACACGATTAGGTCCCCAACCACTTCCAAACTGCTCCCCTGAGCAGAACTGGGTCTCATCCGACACGTTTCTGCGACACTCGTCGAACTCGAGTTCTTCGATGATTTCTTCGTCGAAATTCGGGCCATATACTCGCTGCCTAAGGCGGTAGTGTGAATTGCCGAATATATGACTGTCGATCGAATCTTATGGGGACACAGAGGAATTCATATTCATGGGGACAATCTCTGGTCTCGGGCAACTAGGTCTGGAGCGATGGGCGATCCGATCACTCGGGCTGAATTCAGGTGGATAACGTATGTAAATCTCGGGCCTCCACGAGCTTCATACTTCTCATACATCGCTTCCGAGGACTATAATTTTGGGGATTCTCCGGGACTCGTCACGCGGCTCTGTAGATCCACAAAAGGAGTAGATCTTCAATTGTACATAAGCTTATTATCCACAGAGACTAGAGAGAAGCGAGTGTCTCACCCTGTCAGTTATTGCACGGTCGTCCGCCCCCTGACTAGAGTTTGAGAAATGGTCAAGGTCACAATAAAGGTCACCCTGAGTAGAAATATGCTCGAATGTGTTTTTCCGTTGACTGCACCTACGATATTTCTAGCAGGTACGGCGTATCCTTCCTTATAGAGCTGCGATCCCCTGCTGGCAAAATTCATTCCGAGAATGATTGATAGCAAAATAGCCTTGAGCGTAGGTACTCCTGCCGATTTCTGTAGGAACTTGTCGAAGAACAGAAGAAGATTCTCGACCTCGCATCAGTTCAGGAGCCTTCGAGAAAGGCAGTCCATAGTCTGTGTAAGACTCTGTTTCTTCTCTGAATCGTTGAAGTTTTTGTAATCTTCGGTGTTAAAGAGAGCGATCAAATCCGCCGTCTCGAAGAAGGCAAAACTCCTGTCAAGTGACGTGACCGAAGTCAGGACGCTTTGCGCATTTTTTCTAAAACGCTCCGTCTGGCTGATGAGTGACCGCAGGAGTTCAAGGTGACACAAAATACTTCCTAGGCCCGAATCAGGTCCCATCTTGTCGATTTGAATGCGTTCTAAGCGTTGACTCAATTGAACCAGCAGACTAACGTAGAAATAAACATTCGGTACACACGTATTCGGAGCCATACTATCGCAGTGGTCGAGAAGCGCGGAGATCTCCTGGCGTAATTTCGTTTCGAAGAGTAGCGCCAGATTGGTGTTTTTCTGTCTCAAGTCGAACCATAATTTCTTCATTGACGTCACGATTGGCGACATGAGACCTCTCATCAGACACTGGAACCCGAAGAGGTCTCCGAAAGCTGATTTCACCTCTGCAGCGATCTGGATCCATTTTGTGAGAATCTCGAGAGCGATCTCCTGGTTGTCCTCGACCGCGATCGAGGCGATCACCAGCAGTTTTAGGTACTCGGCTCTGTCGAAGAGGTGTCTCCTCAATTTTTCCCCGTGAGGCAAAGACAGAATTTCAAGGCAGCTCTGAGCTCCGAGAGCTCCTTCAGTCTTCGTATCCAGCTGGAGCAGCCGCACATGCACAAGGGTCAGACTCCGTGCGAGCACCCTCGCACCATTGTCTCTGAGCTCATTTTGGACTTTTCGGAGTAGGCACTCGTTCATCCCATTATTGCTGAACTCTACGGAACCGAAGGTCACTTCGCCCGACGACTCATCGACCGCCTTGAAAGGGGTTTTTGAATATTCCTTGCGAAGTATCCGTCGTTCCTTGATCTGAGTGGAGCTGTAGTTCCGTTCGGGTTTCGGCGGAGGTGGGGCCTCGATGTGGACACTCAGGCTAACCTTCCTGAGGACCGGTTTCGAGATGTGAGCTCCGGAGCGCAGAGTGATCGGTTGCTTATTGCCAACGTAAAACGTGACCAAATCGGCAATCGTGTCGAATAGATCGTCCTCCAACTGGAACTGTACCCTCTCATAAAGGGTATTTGGCAGGATATACACGCGATTTATGATGAAGTGGAGCTTCGTTCCGGAATGGTGGCAAGACAAAACGTAGTCGTTCACTTGGGAGAGACAATCGCGCACCAAGAACTGTCCGTCGGTGGTGAGGAGCGTTTCCGCGACGGACCGCGGTATGGGCCCATGATACCAACCGTGGCTCCGAAGATCCGATGACGGGAGCCGCAACTCTTCCTCTAGACTCAGCTGCATTCCTGTAACAAAGACACAGATCAGATACGAGCCATCTCCACATGTCCGTCAAGGCTTGACAATCTTGCGCGTATCGATAACGGAGAGAAGGATTTAGAGGCCCTCCCGAAAATTTTCGAGACACACCCGCGTTGAGACCATTCCCGGAGGATCCATCCCGTAGCGAGCAACTGAGCAAATTACCGTCTCCGAAGCCTAAGCGATCTCAATTTGCGATCGCGCAATCATTCAGAAGCAATTCACCGCTCGTGCACTCTCACTGCACTGTGCCTGTCAGTGGACCATCACCCGTCACCATGGAGTGAAAGCGCTGGGCTCACGCTGTCTGAGTCATCCGAGCGCCTCAGGCATCTGAACTTACCGTAACTTGAAGCCGGTCACATCGCAGACAGATGCTCCATCAGCTCCTATGGGGATCTGCTCGCTGTGGGAACCACGTTTGTTCCCCTGTTCATTGTGCTCGATGGGAAAAATTGGAAACCTCCCTGCGACCACGGCGAATTTTCCTTCCCTTGTTTTCAAAATAGAAAAGGTGCGCGAGGAAAAAGAGGAATGTGGAGAGATCGAAATGATTTTGCTGATCGCAATCCATCCGATTCTGCTTCGTCGTATTAGTATGTCGATGGTCGTCTCGAAGAACGGTGCGTCTCTCGACTCTCTGCGTGGTTCCCAATCAACCGACGGGAACAGTTGAAGAATGAATCGGCAGCAATTCCTAGCTTCCGTGATCGATTGACAGCGTCGAATCCGCGGCAGCTTAATCAGCGGTCTGCGAGAGCAAGAGGATCAGGACCGGGAAAAGTCTCGAGCACAACCTATGATCACGAACCCATGTGATCACAAACTACCGCTCTCTCGCGGAGAGAATTGCGGTTTCGGAAGTTTTTCCTAGTTCGGTTCAAACGAGCTCATGTCACACAGAGGCGATGCGTTCATCCATCGCATAGGTGGGAGAGGGGGACGCATGGCGCGCGTTGCCGGCTCCGATCGCTGAATCAGCTGGCTGGTATACTACATGGGGAGAGCTGGTGCTTCTGCCAATCAATCTGACAGGAATCTTCGCTCCAGCTTCTCCCCCTTGCTCAACGGGATGGCAAGTTGATGGAAACTCTCCTGAATGCGAACATGGGAATCTCTAGACCCCGATTTCTGTGACTGCTCGAGCCTCAGAGCCTAATTGAAGCCAGATCCCTGTTCGTTGATCAGTGATCAGAGATGAATTCGACGGACCCCCAACACCATGACTATACGACTATCGTTTCTTCGTCGCAGATGTACTACGTGAATTGTTCTTGTGTGCCGTCCGAAGCGGGCGGTCCGATCTGCCACACCGACACCTGCGAGTTCAGGCAACTGCCAATAAGTTGTGTTGATGCCATCACGACAGCTTCTCCAGGTGAGCCGAGACGTTTGACGGGGTCGCTCTGAGTTCTGAACCTCCGCGAAGCGCCTACTCCACTTGATAAGTTCAGAGCACTCTAACTGCAACGATCTGACCCTGCAGATCCGAGTCGAAACCAACTCATAACTGTCGTGAGCCACCCTGGCCCGCTGGTCCCGATGGCTGCTCCAGGCTTGCAGTCGACTGAGGCCGTCCCGACCGGTGCAAGGTATTCCGACGATCTGAGCCCGATGATCTGAATCTTTAGAAATGAACCATTGCGCTAATCGCCGATCGAGATATCGCACTCGCACAATCTACCTTCCTAGGATAATTTTCCAACCGTCTCCGGGGCCGGTCGGTAGCTTGCCTCGTGAACCTGTAGACGGCTCGACAGATACGAGCAGAGCCGAGGGCGAATATCGCGAGCAAGTCGCTTCGCCGGAGGAGAACAGTCGTAAGCGCAGAATTTTTTTTGATGTACGATACCGATTGCCCTAATCAGGGCAACTACGAATCAATTCCACTACGAGTTGCTTTACCCCTAGCTGGACATACGAAACTTGTTCTCGATTGGAGTGAATCACACGTCAAGGTATTATTGGAACTCTACGAAAAGGAAAGACCGAAGTTTCTTACCAAGGGGCTCGTGAGGAAAAGATTGTGGGGGGAAATTGCTCAAAAAGTCAATAGAATCACGGGACTGCAATTGCAAGGCTTCCACTGCGAGAACAAGTGAGTTTTCGAATCATTATTTTAACGAGCTACGGAAAGGGTTCCGATGAATCGTCTAGACTAGAAAGGATGACTTCACAACCGGAATCCGATTCATGAATCTCGAGACTCTCGACAGACTTGATTTCCGGAAGGTTCCGAGCAGGGAGTTCTATATCCAAACTCCACAGGTGGAAAGTCCTGATGAGAGGATATCGTCGAGCGGAGAAGGACTTCGGAGCGGCAGGAGTTGACGAGGAACAATTCAAAAAAGCACATCCCTTGTTCGAGCAGATAAGGACCATTCTCTCCAAGGATCCGATTGATGAATATGCCGTCACAGCGAGAGGTGAATCGAAATCGGGTGTTCGCGTCGTCGTAGACAAATGACGATATACCGATATACAGAGGAGATTGAGTAGAATATTCTAACAGAGCTCAAAATTCACTCAGATGTTCAAAAATTGTCAAGGGAATCTCGAATGGTGTGGAGACCCCAAGACACGAAGAGTTTGTTGAACCATTACGGGAACTTCCGCAAGCGGCAGAAAAATCCGAACTTGACGCTCATGTCCTGGGAGAGGATCGCGCGATTGATCCGCCAGGATATTCCGAGCTTCGCAATGAGTGGATCCCATTGTTATTCAAGGTGCGTGAGGTGGATAAGATCCGAAATCAGAAACCGCTGTGATCCAGCGTGGGGGAATTACCCCGATTTCTCTCTAACGGAAAACATCCTACCCAATGTTGGTAAGTTTATTTCCGGTGGTAATGATTTGTCCAATCACTCCTTGGCGATTTTCCGGAACAGGTTTCGCTTCCTGCGCATCAAATATCAGCGTGCGATGCTCTTATGCAAAGACGAGACTTCCCGATGGCCTCACTGTCCCATGTTCAATGAGCTGCACGCTGTACTACGGGAGGACCCCCTGCCCTCTGAGGTTCCGCTCACTCCGAGTCAAATTGCCAAAAGTGAGTTCAGGTCTTTGCTCCGAGAGGGTGACCCTCGATCCCGCTCCTTGATCCTACCTCCCGGGAATATTGAACAATTCAGTTGGAATGCACGCGCATTTGGTCACAGAATCGTCTGATTTCCAGAAAAGAAAGAAAGACGCGCGAACGAGCCCGATGATGAAGAAAGGAACGACGGTTTCGGGCTCCCATCGGTGATTCAACTCGAACCCACTTCGAGGAAACCTCAAGAAGAGTTTACGGCTTATCTGGCGAAACTGGTCGATGGTCTTGCAGTCAGTCTGAAAGATCGAGCGATGCAGGACATCCTGGGCTATGTCTTCAATTTCCGAAAGAAGATTCGACTCGCTAAATCTGCGAAGATCCCAGGAGCAGCTGCAAGCTGACAGTTTTCACACCGAGTCCTCCCGCCGATTTTCGACGCAGTCTGGAATAGATCTGTAGAACTGTGGTGTTCGAGCCATCGAGGTTCTGGTCTGCTGGTGATTCTGATGCTGAGATTGGCGGAGGAATTCGCCGGAATACAAATACGCACAATAAAGTGGAATTGCGGATATATACGGGATATTCTATTGTGGTGATTCTCATTTGACAGGGAGGAAGCAGCTCGACAACGAAGCACGGAAGCACCATGATCACTACCACGGTGGATTCGAAACCTGTGAAAATGACTACGTGGAACGCCAGTAGGGTCATGTGGATTCTCCAACTGATACTGTCATTCTCCATCCTCGTATCCTGCTGCGTGGCGGGCGGAGGACAATCCGTGGTTCTACTCGCTTCAACAGCCTACATGGCTTTCGCGCTCGGGATCCTCGTCCCGATCCTCGACAAGTATTCGTTCCCCACTGTTTCCGGCCTGTTTTCGTCCGTCACTTCCGTTGGATTCTCAGTGACGTACCTGCTGTATTCAATAGCTGTTTTAAGTCGACAAAGCAATCCTTTAGGCTTGACAACCGCTGGAACCGCGGGCATTTTAGCAGCAGGTGTGCACATGACCGAATTCACTATATCACACTGGAATAGATGATCGTCAGATCTCAGGCTTTCAAACCACGAGGTGAACGAATCCGGGAAGATGACCTTGGGATGGATTCGCGCGATGAATTAATAAACGGTGCTTCGTCACAAGCACACTTTGCTGGTGGATGCGGATTCCCTCTCCCCTGGAGATAATCAGCGATTACTTCCCTGGAAATAATCAGCAAGATGATTGCATTAGGGATGAGGAGAAAAATACCCTGATCCTCCAAATCCGAAGCTGCATGGTAATCTGGGGAAGAACGCTGAGGCCATGCAGTTTACGGCATCCTATGGAAGGCATGCGCGTAATCAGACAAAAGAAACGTTTCCCGAAGCTGAAAGCGGTCAACGCAATCGCAGGTTTACTCAGATGGCCTCAGGCGTCGCGCTCTGATGAAGGCGTTCGGGTTGGGGAGCTCAACCGTCGACACCACGGACTTGCTGGATGGTAGTCCACGTTTCTAACTCAGGCTGATCGTAACTTGTTCGCATTCTCAGAGTCTTCAGAGCAGCATCAACGTCATTATCATAACCTCAGATCTTCGAGGGGGCTTTCTATCACGCTGAGCGCCACAAAACCGATACTCACGAAGCGGTGGATCTTCCGATCATTCAACGGTGGAGGGGAGAATCGAGAATTTTTCATGATCCTCAGAGCTCTTCTGGAGGCCCAGAGACTCCCTGATTCATTGGTCCTCCCATAAGAATTTTCCAAACACAAAACGAGAATTTCATACGCTCGGGTATTGATTGCTTCGTTTGTGTCATCGGGCACCGGATCTGGTTCGAAAGTCTAACGCATCATCAGGGGAAGGAGGGGGAGAGATTTCGTGTGGTGCCAGCGGCGAGCCTTTCTAGTGGTGGGGTGTCGCACGCGACATCTGGCCTCGTGTGTCGTCATAGTCGGTTCACCTCGCATTCATTGAGCTCAGGCAGCGCCGGCTCGTTCTGGCTCGGCCTCTCCAGCATCGTTCCTTCACTCCCCGTGTGCCTTATCCCATCCCCTGCTCGTACTCGCTCCCCGTCCCCTACAGCACTGTCATGGACGAGATACCAATCGATGAAATCCTTCGACATGAACTGGATCTAACGATCCAGCGCTGTTTCGATCTCGGATGTATCCGAACGTTGGGTTGCTCTTGCTTGAGCCGGCTGCGGGTAGGATGGCTCCTCTCGCGTAGGCTGTTAGAAGAATCGCGAATGTCGGATATCTGAACAAAGAATTTGAGAAGGCTGAAAAAATGGAGAAATCCAGCTCTGAATGTGCACGAGCGATCTCTTGATGAGATACGGGATCACTCGAATTCTACGGATACAGAAACCGGAATCATTAGCCAGATGCAAAGATTCGCCCGCCAAGAAACACTCGTGAATGAGGAATTCGGCATTTTTGTTCCAACGCTATGCTGAGTGAAATTCGATCGACGGCCGGCTGGATCTGTGTTCCGGGATCGACATTTTGTTCTGGCGTCCGCCCCTCTCGGGTGCTCCGCGTCGGTTGCGAGCAGATCTCATTTCTTCATTGTTCCGTGGATAATATCTGATCCCAAGTCTCTCCTCTATGAGCTCGGCCTAGGTAAGTCTCCGGAATGTGTGCAGTCGGAGCGCAACCCGTTCCATAGCGTGCCGGAATGTTCTACTCTGGCTCAGGGACCTACCGTCCCTGCACCTGCCAGAATACTTGATGACAGAGTCTTGGTTCAAGCCAGCGGCTGGCTGACCGGTGGGCCTGCTGCTGGTCTACCAATCGGACGGTCGAAGGCGAGCTAGCCAGCGTGCCATCGAAGAAATCAGGAAGGGAACTCGGCTGTACTCGCTATACCGGCTCTTGGCTCAGCAGTTGGCTGAGTCGAGTGGTTTCTGGCTCTGTACGACTGAGGTCCGTCCACCTTGAGAGCGGCTGCGAGTCGAGCCGGCTGGTCAAACGAGCTCGTCGAATGAGCCACAGCGCGGTAAGTCAGTGAGATGTTTCACTTTTTTCCGAGCGAGCTTCAAATCAGATATCAATGATTCATCAGTCGCATTATTCGTCAGATAAGCTCCCTCCCCATTCGGGCAGGGAGCTTATCTGACGTGGCAACCTGTCGCAATCGATTCTCCCCGCCTCGGAGCTCTGACTAGAGCTACGCAGAGTGCAAGGAGGCTCCGACATTCGGCTTGACCATTCGCGTGCAACGACCATTCCCACGTCCACGATCGAAACACATCGTCCGGTACTAACCGTTCAGCACAAGGCGCTATCGGTAACCCTCAGCTCTTGCAGCGAGAGATTACAGAGAGGTCGCTCGGTGGCTCGTCTCGATGGATCGCGAAAGAGCTCTTACCCGAATAATTCGCCATGACTATCCAAGGAAATTCATCCTTGACTCGATACCTGATTGGGTTGGCGAACCTCGTCTTCCGCACGTCACATATCCCTAACCACAATATCAGGATGTTCACTGATATTCTTCGAGGACCCAGGGAACGAGACCCATGTGGGCTCGATACAAGATCGACTCCGGGATCATGGAGCAAGCTGACGAGGAGGACGCAACGAATGCCCTCCATGACTACGGTGTGCCAGACAAAGAATCGTGTTTCGAAATGTACAACGTTCCGTTCCTCATTCGGGACCAGGCCCTATCTCACACATTCGTTTCGGTCATCGATATGGCGACCGAACATTCGTCTCTGATGGGAGGCAGAGAAGATCGTCCGATATTCCAGTAAATGTGGAATTCAAGCTTCCTCTGAGGATTCTCTGCAACCAACAAGCCTTCGGTCCAGATAGCGAGCACAGAACCCGGGGTGTTCGATGAGTTCAAGATCCAGGCACAACGAGAAATGCGTCGACATCCGCAAACGACGAATACCTCCGTTGCCCACCTCCAACCTCTGAGTATATCCGACGGTCATGTTCATCCCGGATACGGAATCCGACTCCCTGAAGATGCTCCGGGATTGTGGTCACGATCTAAAGCGTCCGCTGTAAACTCAAGCAGCGCATCGAGCCAGAATCTGAACCATTACTGGAGCTCAAGACAAGACACATTGTGCACATAGGAAGTTTCTGTGTCCTCGACACGAGCCATCGCCGCTCAAAGCACAGGCTGAACCAACTGCAGGGTCGAGCTACCGGCTAGTGAATCGAGGGACCGACCAAGCGGACGCAACGATGACGGCGACCGATCGATAGGCCGAACGGCCGTCGATAAAGAGATTGGCAAAAAGCCGCCTGATCTTTCAGTGAACAGGCGACTCGCTCTGACCGGCGGAGATACGAATAGACACTCGGAGACGTAACGGTCACCGTTGTTTTCCTCCTCGGATGCCGTTACGGCCACAAGCCGCCGCTCCTGGAGCGCCGCTGCAGCGACTACATGGACGTCAGCTACGAGGGATCCTCCCGAATCTCTGATTCCGTTGACTCGCGCAAGGTCGGTTCGCCCCGTTCGGGGCTGTGCTTTGCGCATCGCAACTATCGCACGAGAGTTCACTCGAGTGTGATTCGCGGATAAGAGGAGTGTCGTCACGTAACGGGGTTTAAGTTGCTCGAGGGATTATTTTCGATCCCCCATCGTTTCGAGAACTCGATCAATTCTCGTACAAGGAAGCAACTATCCGCCTGAAAACGAACGAGCACGATGGTGAGCGGCTACCTTTCGTTCGCCTACCGTCGAGCGCAAGAAACCAAGGAGACCGCCATTCGGACGGATGGACAGACCGACGAGCCGACAGACCGACGGGCCGACCATCTGAGCAGCAGCAGCGGCTGCGGCGCCGAGTGAGCGAGAGATCGACCATCAACACACAACTGTTCGCCGTTGCCGCCGCTACTATGTTCTCGGTTCTGAGAGAGCCAACCAAACAGCCTGTCTGCCATCCGCCTGCCTGCCTACTTGCTTGGTTGCTTGATCGGTGGTGGTGGTGGTGCTGCTGCTGCGTCTGACGGCAGCCGCGACTGTCGTCGTAGATTTCTGACACAACCAACGACGGTGTTGCCTACCGAGAGAGACTACTACGTACGAACCTACCAACTACCAGCCGAGCGAGCGACCGAGCAACGAGTCCACGGAGCAGCCGCTCGCTATCCAGCAGCAGCAGCCAATGATCCGAGCTACCAGTCAGTCGGTCGGTCGGTCGGCCGGCCAGCCCGCCAGCCAGACTGACTGACTGGCAGGCTCGCTGGCACCCAGTCAGAGGCCAGTTACTCAGGCAGCGATTGATTGCTTCGTGGCAGCAACTCTACAATATTTGGAGCTGCTCAATTCGAAACAACCCACATAAGAGCTTAGTTTGAAAACAGCAATGATCTCGATCAGCTGCTGCGGCCGTAAGCGGTTCTGGATTCGGTGGAGGACGTGTTGTTCTGCTGCTGCTGCTGCTGCTTCTATCCGGTGAGCTGGATGCGCGCCTTCGGTGTCTGAACGAGCTTCTAACGGTACCTCATCCGCGCGGAAGGATATCGTTCGCGCTAAGAGCTCGCTCTGTTCCCTGCGGTTCGGAGGCACTCCTGCCTACGGTGCGGTGGTGGCATCGATTGTTGC